ACATTAGCTATTTATCCTTCACAGCTGTAGTAATATAATGGATGGTATTCCTGTTTAATAGCTCTGGAGGCAGGCGACGCCCCAGAGAAGTGAGGTGACTTGCCCAGGGTCTCATAGCTATGAAGCAGTGAGGCTAGGCTGAGATGTATACAAGCATGGCACACAGCATTGGCCCTCAGCATGGCCTCTCCCCATCTGCATAGCTCCCCCCCACTCACTCCACCCCCCATTACTATGTCCTGTGAATTCTTGAAGGGGAGAAGGGTAGATTCTTGTCTTCTTTTTTTTCTTCCCCCCCAAAAGCAAACCCTCCAGTGAAGTAAGTCAGACAGAGAAAGACAAACACTATGATCTCACTTACGTGCGGAATGTGAAACAAAAACAAAAACAAAAACCCCTCATAGATGCAGAGAAAAGACTGGTTGGCGGTTGCCCAGAGGTGGCAAGGGGAAGGGCAGTAGGTTGGCAAAATGGGGAAAGCAGGTCAAAAGGTATATGCTGCTAGCCGTAGAGTAAATAAATCTCTAGGGAAGTAATGTACATCGTGTTGACTGTAGTTAATACTGTATTGTGTATCTGAAAGTTGCTAAGATAGAAGATCTTAAAAGTTCTCATCACATAAAAAAAATATCTGTAACTCTGTATGGTGACAGGTGACAGGCAGACTTACTATGCTGATCATTTCACAGTGTACACAAATATCACATCATTATGCTGCACACCTGAAACTAATATAATGATATATGTCAATTATATCTTATTAAAGAAATCAAATAAAACCCCCAGTTTCTGTTGCTCAGGGTTTTATGGGAGTGATGGCTCCACCTCTGTGCCTCCAGCAAGAGTAAATAAGTAGCTTGGCAAAGCCTCTGCAGAGAGATGGGCCCCTGCTTTTCCTGATGAACCTCCAACTCTTTCTAGCTTCTGTGATAGATCAGGGTGAGACGTGAGAGATTTTTAACAAGCAAGGAAAGGTGACACAGGTAAGTTAGAGCTTCACGTCACGTGAGCCATGGTTGATGAGTGAAAAATGTATGTAGAAGTGTAATCCTTCTTGGACTGCGGACAGAAATACATCCATTTCCCTCCTTTCAGCGTGCTAAATACACTTACCAATAGACCCCTTTTTAAAAGTGTTTGCAGTTGGGCACCTGGGTGGCTCAGTGGTTGACTATCTGTCTTTGGCTCAGGTTGTGATCCTGGGGTCCTGGGATCGAGTCGCACATCGGGTTCCCTGCAGGGAGGCTGCTTCTCCCTCTGCCTGTGTCTCTGCTTCTCTCTGTGTGTCTTTCATGAATAAATAAATTTTAAAAATCTTTAAAAAAGTGTTTGCAGTTTAACTGAGTTTTATGATCGGGAAAGATTTTTGGAGCTCTCCAAACGTCAAGCACTTATTTGCTCCTTGGTAGCAGGGGGAATAGAACCCGGATCTCTTGGTGAGCAGGCCACAGAGGCTCGGAGGTATAGTTTTGTTAGTTTTACACGCTGGATTGGGGACCAGTGGTGTGCAGTTGGATGGCATCTTGACTGAGGGAGGTCGCCCACCCCTCTGGGAGTCTCCGGTTCCAGGACAATTGATGACTCTGTAAATGAGTCCTTCCATCCCTGAGTACGTGGTTTAAATGGCCAGGGGTGCTCCTCCCAGGCCTGACAATTTCCTCAGCAGGCAGATGCTGCTCAATTCAGTTCCTTCACATTAGTTCAACCTTCATCCATACAAGCTGCTGGCCTCCATCCAGAGTCTTCTTTCTTCTCTCAACATATGCAAGCAACCAGAGAGTTCCACCAACCCGGTATGCCTTGGAGCCACTGATTTCACAAGCAGCTGGCATACAATAAATATTGAGTTGATTACGTTTCTGCATATCCAACATATGCCAGGCAGGTTTTTAACTTTTTGGTGTCTCGGCCCACACTGAGAATCCGAAGGAGGTTGGAGGTCTTTTCCCCCAGAAAAAATGCCCAGGTAACACCCACTCACAAATTTCCGCATTGGATTGGGGAATTTGGTTTACGGACTTGTAAAGTCTACCTTGGGCACTTCTGGGGGGGAGGAACTGGTTAGGATCAGGGAGTTAAGAACTAAGGATCCAACTGCAGTTAAATACCCCCAACTGGTAACGTCTCCCAGCTTGGGGTGAGGTCAGTTTCCCTAAGCACGTGCTCTTGCTTGGATGCACCTTAGCAAGAAAGAAGGTGGTGAGATTAATTCAGAGGTGGGGATTGCTGGGCTGGGGACCATGGGAGCGTAGGCATAAGAGAGTGTGTGAACTGTGGCCAATCCTGGGAATGTTTTTGAAATAAACAAGTAATCAGAACTAAAGAGTAACCAGGAAGGGTAGAGAAGGAACTCAAGAGAGGTTGGAAGGGCTTAGGTACTTGGGAGGGAGGCAGGGGTTGCTGGTGGCTGGAGAAGATGTGTGTTTGGAATTGTGAGTGGGGAATTTTAGTGCAGGATTGCAAGAGGGCAGGCAGTACTTCTGTGATGATAGGGCTCAGGATGTGAGCCTGACACTGGGCCACTCATGGACTTGTGGGTGTCAGATGTCATTTAGGAATGTAGAAGCTGTGTGGGATGCATGTGGAAAGTGAGGAGAGAAGCCTGTTAAGGAGTATGGTAAGATCATCAGTTAGGTTGAGCCAGGGACCTCTCCCACCCTGAGGGCGAAAGAAATCTCTCTGAAGTTGAATCTTGCCTGGAAACAACTCCAGGGCTCAGAGGGTGCTCCCTGGGCTTTGTTTTCTGTCTCCTGCTCCCAAATAGGCACATGCTTGGGAGTCAGACCCACGTGGGTTTACAGCCACTCACTACCGGGGACCTTAGCCCCTGGCCTCAGCCTCCCTGGCTTCAGTGTTGTGGCTGAAATGCTAGAAAATGATTTTTGCAGCAGTTTCCACTGGTTGTGTTAGATTCCATCTGGGTCTTCAGTGAGAAATTGTGGGGACCCTGCCTGCCCCGGTTCCTGCCAGGTCACTATTACCCAACAACTCAGGTTTCTACTCCCTTGGCTCCTTTCCTAGTCAACATGTGTGTCTAGAAATGGTCCCTTGGGTTATGAGCTTTTTCATTTAACTGTTTTTGTATTCACTTTTTGCAGGTTATATAAAGCAAAAACCATGAGGATCCGATTGAACCCAGGCACCAAGTTCCAAGGGAATGAATTTTTTTTTAAAAAAGCTCTATTTTTTCCATGCACTTTTCTGTTAAAAAACCGATAGTTAAAATAATAAATAAGCAACAAAAGCCCCAAAGCCCCAAACCCAATAGTAAAGAGAAATAAAAACTTTAGTGAGATGGAAGCGGTGAGGCGGAAACCACCAGATTCATTGATTGATTGGCCTTTGCTGCCCATCCCTATTAGTTGGCAGTCTGGTTTCTTTTTTAGGCCCCAGGAATGAGGTACATCAAGAAGGGTCTTTGAATTCCAGCCTGCGAAGCGCCTGGCTTTGGAAGGAGGAAGGCATCGTGGAAACCCGGCAGCCAAAACGCGCTCCTTAGGATAACATGCGGGTGGACCTAAGGACTGAGACCTGGACCTTAGAACGTGCCCTCGGGGCGCCCGCCCAGCCCACCAGCGCGGCCTGGCTCCAAAGTGACAGGATCCGAGTTTCCAGGCCAGATTTTCCCTCTAGCCATTCCCGGCCACGCAGAGCGGAGCCGGAGCCGGAGCCGGAGCCGGAGCCGGAGCCGCGAGCGCGCCACGCCGAGAGGGATGTCTCCAGCGCCTCCCAGGACGGAGCGAGCCGCCAGCCCGGGGAGCGCTGAGGACCCCAGGGCCCTCGGGCGCCCGCAGCAGCCGGCATGACTTGACTTGCCCCGTCCCGCGCGCGGCCTCCTCCCCGGCGCCCCCGCCCGTCCCGGGTGCGCGCGCACGAGCCGCCGAGCCGGGGAGCCTCGCGCCCGGCAGCTTGCGGGCGGCGGCGGCCGACAGGCTCGCGGGGACTCGGGCGCCCAGGGCGGCGGGGGAGGAGCTGGCGCCGCCGCCGCCGCCGCCGCCGCCGCCGCCGCCGGTCCCCTCGGGCCGCGCCCCGCCCTCTGCCGCCACCTGCGCGCCCGCTCGGGGCTCTCCGAGCCGCGGCCGGGGCCGTGCGGGCTCTCGGTGCCGCAGCGGCGGGATCGCTGCGTCCTTCGACTGCGAGGCTCGGCGTTGGGCTCCGCGGCGCGCGGGACGAGCGGGGCTGCCGGCGCCGGCGAGCGGAGGGGGCGCTCCCCGCGGCGCTCCGGGAGGGGCCGAGGCAGCCGCCGTGACTGTCGAGGCCCGACTCGGCTTCCGGCAGGCCCCGCAGGCTCGCTGGGGACGCGGCTGGGGTCGGGGCTGGGGACGCGGCTGGGGGCGCGTCCGGGCGCCCGCGGCGCCGTGCGCGCTGTGAGCTTGGCGGCGGGTGGGTGTCCCCGGCGCGAGGGGCGGAGAGGACGTCGCGCTCTGCCCCTTGGCCCGCCCCCTAGTGCTGCCCCCACTTAGAGAGTAATTGAGACTTGAGCGTGACTGCGGAGCCGCGAGGATGCGGGCGCCGGGCGCGGGCTGCCCCTCTGCGGGGCGCGATGGAGCGAGTCGGTGAGCGGAACAAAGGCGCCCGCCCCGGGGCGCGGGTCCTGGGCTGAAGACCGCCGGCCGCCTGCGGGCGAGGGTGGTGGCCGCGCTGCCCGCCGACGGGCGGCAGCCCCTGAGCCCGGCACCTGCGCGCGGCTCCACCGCGGCCCCGGGCAGCCCCGCTGCCGGCCGCCCCGGGTCCATCGGAGCGCCTCTCGCCGGCGCCGCGGAGAGACCCCCGGCCCCGGCCCTTCGCCGAGAGGGGGGCGCCGGCCGGGCCGCGCGCTGGGAACCGAGCCGGCGTCTCCGGGAGCACTTCTGCGCACCGAGGGCTCCCCCCCCCCGCCCCGCCGCGGCCGCCCCGCGCTCCCCGCGCTCCCGCGCTCCCGGCCGCCTCCTCTGCCCGAGCATCCGCGCCGCGGGCCCGGGAGAGCCGCTGGGCGCCCCGCCGGCCGCCCGGAGCGCGAGGCTCGCACGGCCCTCGGCTGCCCCGCGCCTCGCCGGAGCCCGAGGGGGCGCGGGTCCGGGGCGAGGGCCGGCCGGGCGTGTTTGATGGCTTCACTGAGAAGAGTCAAAGTGCTGCTGGTGTTGAACTTGATCGCGGTGGCCGGCTTCGTGCTCTTCCTGGCCAAGTGCCGGCCCATCGCGGTGCGCAGCGGAGACGCCTTCCACGAGCTCCGGCCGCGCGCCGAGGCGGCCAACCTCAGCGCGCACAGCGCCAGCCCCATCCAGGATGCTGTCCTGAAGCGCCTCTCGCTGCTGGAGGACATCGTCTACCGCCAGCTGAATGGTAAGGACACGCGCGGGCGCCCACGGGGCTCTGCGCGGGCGGGCGGGGCGCTGGTACCCCAGGGGCCCCGCGCGGTGCGGGGGAGCCCGTACTCCTGGCTCCCGCAGGCTCCCTCTGACCCTTCCTGCCCTGTCTTGGCTGCTGCAAAGAACTGCCTGCTGCTTCTGTGCCCCAGCTGTAAGTTTGCTTTTATTGTGGAAAACACGTCCGTACAGCTGGCTCCCAGTCCCCGCGTGCGGCAGTCATTACCTGATGACTCCAGTCCCAGTGCGGAAACTAGTCTCCCGGCCGGATGGGACGGGAGGCGCAGGCCGGCTCACTTGGACCAAAGGGCTCTTGCAGCTTAGCGTGTGGTGGGGGTCAGACAGGGAGGGACGCTGGCGGGCTTGGATGTCTGCAAAGTCAAGGCCTCAGGTCTGGAGCTAATGCGCTCCCGTAGTAAGTTGGATGAATATGTCATCTCTCCGGGAGGCGGGCTGCACCGCTAATCATGAGGACTCCTCCCTTCCTGCTGCCTCCGTGGAGGCTGCTATTAAAAAAGCACTCCCCGTTTCTCGCTGGAGAGCTGCCTGAGGGTGATTGTTACAGTTCATGGTGGGTTGGGGAAGCAGTGTTTCCGAGTGTAGGAGAGCGAGGCTTGCCACCCAATTAATGACAGTTGTCAGAATCTGCCCCATCTAAAATGCTCTCCTCTGTGCTTCTGGAGAAGGGGGACACGCTTAATGTACCCTGGCCGCATCTGGCCCAGGGGCTGACGGGTCCTTGGACCCACGCTATCCCCAAGGTCAGAGCGAGTATTACCTACCTGAGTACAAGCAGCTCTCCGGGGTCCATAGGGCTGGCATCCAACGGAGATCCAGGGTTGCCACCTCCCTTCCTGGGCTTCTAACTATCCATCTCATAATGGTTCCAGAACTACAAATTATGGTAAAGATACTGATAAGAGTAATTGGTATAATTTTTGCTCCCCAGGGGTCCCTGCTGGGTCCTTCTAGGTGGGATGTGGTTGGATCTCTGAGCACCCTTTGAAATAGCCCCATTGGTCTTCTTGATGTCATTTAACAGGTATCCAGGGGATGCTTTCAGCCTGTATCTGCCCTGGGGAGTTATAATCCCTGTTTCTTTCCGGACAAATTAGAAGCTTATGGGGGTGAGCCTTTGATTCTACTCAGATACCTGCCAAAGACCTACACATTGGGCCCGAAAGAGAGTGCAAGATAGCCTGGGTCTCACTTCTAGTCTGCACCCAGGGACACAAGTCATTTTAGTATTGGTTTCAATTAGGAAACAAAGTATGGCATAGCCACGCCCCCATATGCCCCAAAGAAGAAGAATAAAATCTAAATGGTGTTTACTAAGTGCACAGACATGCAGGGACTCATTTAGTCTTTATAGCAACCCCAGGAGATAGGTGATGATACTGCCTGCTGTGGGAGCTTGCTCATCGCCACCTAGCCAGGGGGTGGAGCTGAGAATTGTACTTGGTCTGTTCCAGAATTGAGGTTCTTAGCTGATACACCAGCCTGCCTCAGCCTTTTGGCATGTGTCAGAGTCAGATGGAGGGCCTGTTAAGTCACAGGTTTCTAGACCTCAGCCCCAGAGTCTCTGATTCAGTGGATCTAGTAGGGTGGGAGCCCCAGACTTTGCATCTCCACTTGCACCGTGGCCCGCTGCCTACACAGAGCAAGCAAGGAGGAAAGCCCATTCGCCTGGCAGTGCCAGCCGGTTGGGGTAGGGGTGGGCACTTCTGAGAAGCCAAGTGGGCAGGGGATCGGGGTTCTTTGCATGCAAGCTCTTCTGTCATATAAGCAATTTCCCTGGGGGCCAAGGGGCATCCGGTCCTTGGGGCTGGTTGGGTTGGGCGCTGTGGGGTGGGAAGACGGAGCTTTCTCAACTTGTAGCCTCTGAGGAGGAGCTGCCAGGAAGACTGGCTTGAGGGCTTTTCCTGGGCAAGCCAGGAATTCTAGCTGCAACTAGGTGGGTGTTATCTTCCCAGCAGCTAAGTGTAATTTGGAGCAATGTGAAGTCTGGGGGAAGAGGGCAGAGCAGAGTCGGGAAATGGAGAGAACCCTCTTCTCCACCCCACCTGCTGGCGTGTCAGGCCTCTGCTTGCCTTGGGAACTGTGTGTGCCACCTGTTGGTGCAGCAGGCCTGCTGGGGCTTCTGGCTTCGGTGGGGGGGGGGGTAGCCCAGGGTGGCAGGAGTCCCAGGGCCTGGCAGATGGGACCTGGATTCCCTTGTCCACTTGCTCTGCAGCCTGTCTCTGTCCCTTTCTACTAAAGGAGAAGGAAACCTTGACCTTGGTGTTTATTCCTCAGCAATTAGTGGTGGGTCTGTAAGAGCCTGTCACCGGGCCTACTGTAGGGGCAAGGCCACTTGGGTCCAGCCCTTTGGGTACAGAGTGAGAGCTGGCCTGTTAGAGGCTGCTCAGATTTCTCTGACCTTCCTGTGGACTCAGGGAGTTCCGCCGGAGGGCCTCAGGGAGAGTTCTATAGCTCTCCCTGGCCGCGAGCACTACCACCCCTAGTGGCTGCTCACTCCCGGAACGGGTTTCCTTGGGTGTCCGGGGGACCCAGGCTTCCTTAGAATCAGCCCCTCTGCGAAGATTGTCAGTGCCAAAATCATGAGTCCTGCCTTTTGTGTGTATGTGTGTGTGTGTGTGTGTGTGTGTGTGTGTGCGCGCCTAAGATTTTATTTATTTACTTATGAGAGACACACAGAGAGAGGCAGAGACACAGGCAGAGGGAGAAGCGGGCTCCCTGTGGGGAGCCCAGTGCGGGACTTGATCCCAGGACTCCAGGATCATGTCCTGGGCTGAAGGCAGACGCTCAAGGGCTGAGCCACCCATGCGTCCTGAGTCCTGCCTTTTGAAAAAACAGTTGTAGGTTGTTGTTGTTACTCTTTTGTTTTTCTTACTACAGGCTGGGAAGGATGCTTTCAAGAGAAAGTGGGGGTGCTGGTATGGCGGGGAAGCACCCAGAGATGAGTTAGGTTTTTCCCGTGCAGACTGTCTGCAGGGCCCCCACTGCTGGGCCGGCTCCCTGTGCCCCGCGCCTGCACCTGGTCTCTCACCCCAGCGTTCCGCCCAGCACACGGGGCTCCACTTCCCGAGGGCCCAGCTTCCAGTGGCTTTCTGTTTCCTAAGGGGTCATGGTCAAGCCTGAAGGCTGATCGTCAGGGCCCACCACAGCCAGCTCCCACCAGCATCTCCCATGTCCCCACCTCACCCAGTGCCTTCTGCCTCCTGCGGCCAGACTGATGGACGCACAGGAACGCCCAGCATTTGCCTTTAGGGTTGTAGCCTCCACATTTCAGCCCCAGCCTTGGAGAAGTTGTCTGGCTTGGCTGTGGCTGCTCCCTTCTCTTTTCCTCCACCCTTTCAAAGTTTGGCTCAAGGTCCTTGCCCTGGGGTGGGAGTGGGGCTGTGCCAGGCCACACGGCGGAGCTCTTCCTGCTTCGGGTTCCTTCTGGAAGCTTTGTTGTCGGCGACTCTTTGCACCCAAGGCTTACCTGCTTGTGCCTCCGTGGGTTTATCTCTTGAGCCCAGAACTGGACAGTAGGTTTTTTAAGGGCTTGAACTGTATTTTGGACTTTTTAATACCGCTTCCGTTCTTTAAGCATCTCCCACAGCACCTTGTACAAATGTGGGCATCTACAGTTTATGGGTTGATTCATTGGATGGGAGCCAGTTTTAGGAGGTACATGATGGACGCAGAGGAAATAGTCTCGACACTGTCTTGCTTGGGTTGGGCTGGGTGGATGTGGTGAGGAGCGGGGAGCTGGACAGCCTTAGTGGGGAGACCCAGTGTTTGGCAGGCTTCTGGTCTCTGCCATCTTGGTTGCGCCATCTTGAGGCTGTTTGGCCCTTCACCCTCCTGACGGAGGGGCCCCAGACCCTTTGGAGGAACTTGGGCGTGAAGCAGTTGTCCAGCCTAGGGAATAATGCATTTCAGCATATTTTCTTTGAATGTGTAGTTTTTATAATACGAATATGGTTTTCTACTTTTTTTTTGTAGAAGAAAATTAATTCACATTTATTGTAGGCAATTTGGAAAATCTAAAAATATTACATGAACGAAAATAATGCTGTGTTAAGTTAGTTTACAAAATGGTGGCCTGGTGGTTTTGTATGAGCATTAGGAAAAATGGACCTAGGGACAGACAGATTTTCTGTTAGAATTTTCATGGAACTCTGTATGTGACTTGTGAGTTTTGTGAGTTTCTTTCACCTTCTGAGGAAGTTGTTTGTTTCTCTCATTCTAGAGCGGAGAAAAAGGTGAGAAACAGAGATACTGTGTGGCCTAGCGGGGATGACATAGCCAGTGAAGGGCAGAGCCAATATTTCCTGAATACTCAGTACTTTCCTCCAGCCCGGTGCCCTCCCAAGGAGTCAGGCAGGGTAAAGACACCATTTCACTGTTTTGCTTGCCCCGTGTCAGCCCCGAGCTCTGGCAGCGACCCCCTCCCTCATTGAGCCCCGTGCAGTGAGTCAGAAGGGCGCATGTCACTGCTCCAGTAAGCCCAGGGCAGCTCTGTCATAAGAGGAAATGCAATCGATTCAGGTTGGCTTCCAAATTTAGATTTCAGAAGGATATTGAGTAGAAGCAGGGTTGCCTGAAGAAATTGAAAATCTTTGTGGGAACAGAGAGAAGTCAAAATTACCTATCCGAGTCCTGCCCCCAAGCCTCAGAGGCCGACAAAGCTGAGTCTGAGCTATGGAAAACCAACAGGTTCCCAGTAAGGCAAGCACAGCCCACCCAGCCAGATGCCTAAGGATAGCCGGATGGAGGTAGAGGTTTGCTCTCATAGGCCTCATGGTGGAGTCAGAAAGAGAGGGATGGCATTTTATTTTTGTTTTAGTTTTTTTTTTTTTTTTAAGATTTTATTTATTTATTCATGAGAGACACAGAGAGGCAGAGACATAGAGGGAGGGAGAAGCAGGCTCCCTGCAGGGAGCCCGATGTGGGACTTGATCCCAGGACCCTAGGATCACAACCTGA